TAGGTTGTTTCCATCTTTTTGCTATTGTGAACAGTGCTGCAATGAACATGGGTGTGCATATATCTATTCGTGTGACAGCTCTTATTTCTCTAGGCTATATTCCAAGGAGCGGGATAGCTGGATCATATGGTACATCTATTTCTACCTTTTTAAGGAAGCACCAAATGGATTTCCAAAGTGGTTGTACCATTTTACATTCCCACCAACAGTGTATAAGTGTTCCAATCTCTCCACAACCTCTCCAGTATTTATTATTTTGCATTTACCTAAAAATATTTTTAAAACAACTGAAAAATAAGGGTCGATTAAGACAAAGACACTAGTGGCCACACTGTTTCCATCTATAAAAAATTGTATTTTTGCCACAAGAGCCATAATGTTTATCTGGCGTTTCAAATATCTAAAAGCTATTTCAGTACAGCTTTCAGTATCTAAAAGCTACTTTGTTCCCTTAACTAAAGCAGAGCATGCACTTTAAAGTGAGCACTATGCTAACCTGTGTGGGCAGAAGGCTCCAGTTTTGTTTACTGCGGATCTGACTATCCACTAGGTCACCGTCGCATATACTATCCGCTGCTCTGCTCAACAGCATCAAGTGCTTCTTCATGTCGCCCCTGTAGGAAAGAACCAGTGTGGGTTACATTACTCTCCACCCCTCAAGTTCCTCCCTGAGTATTTGGTCTTTGAAGTGCTCAGAAGGGTACCAATTCTACCCGTCACCCTCTGAACACTCACCCTGCGGCTATAGGCTTCACATGTACATAGTTCTCCTGGACAAAGAGGGGGGCTATTGAATAATCATGAAAAAAGAGATCCAATTTGTCCATAAGTGACATATGAGCAGTCTCCTCTCCAGCTGCAAATACTTTCCGGGCAACATCAAATGGTCCCTAAAAAAAATTAACAGAAAAACAAACAAACACCAACAAAAAAACACTTCTTAAATCACTGCTCTAGCTGTAACAAATTCTGACTAATGAGTAGGTGAAATGGAACACCAAAAACCTGTTGCTGCTGAGTCAATTCCAGCTCACAGCGACCCTACAGGACAGAGCAGAACTGCCCCATAGGGATTCCAAGCAGTGGCTAGTGGATTCGAATTGCTGACCTTTTCGGTTAACAGCCAAACTCTAACCACTGCACCACCAGGGCTCAGAAATGGAACACAGAGGTAATTAATACAAACTTCTAGATTCAGAAAGGTTATTAAACTAAACCATTGGTAACAATACTCTGAAGAGTTCCAAACACTTAAAAGATGAAATCTACACAAAAGAGACTCTGGAAAAGTCATTTTATGACAAGTGAAGCATGAATGTAATTAAAACTTAACCCTTTCTCAAAATTTACAATATACATTGACAGTACTTGAAGAAAAATTAATTTGAATTGGAAACACTTCTAGTAGCTGTCCATGGTTCTTGTGATAAATATTCATGGATTCCTTAGGTATGCTGAGGAGCTATAAAGACTATTTCTATCAATACCTACAAAACAAGAAGTGCTTTGGCTTGGGAAAGTAATTAAGAAAAGGAAATGTATTTTACCAGCTTTATGTCCTTTTTGGCTCTACTAGAATCAGCCTTGGCCTGGTCATAGGTTAGTGCTTTACTCTGTGCACACCACATACTCAGATTGTGCAAAACCTAAAAGAATCGCAAATAAGTTAAGACAATGTCAACATGGGAAAATTTCCCCCACCTCTGCAAAGGCATCAAAAGAATCATCAACTAAAGTCATATATAATGTATTTAATTTACCTGTCTGATATCTTGATTAGCTCCCAAAATTATTTCATTCATAGCTGGAGGGGGAATCTTTAAACCCTCTTTAAATGCAATAGACATCATAGCACCCTGAAAATGACAAGGGGAATTTTTAATAATTAAAAAAAAAATTCATACAACTAGATACTTTAAAAACATTTATCAGATACTTTAAAAAACTGACCCCTATATAAGTAGGATAGTGTGATGAAGAGGAAAAAAGTCCAATCATCATACCTTAATCTGTTCAACTCGAGGTCTTTGAAAACGAAGATCAAAACAATAATGAACCAAAGAGCGAATCTTCGGATGATTTCTGTCATTGCACATGCAAATAATGGGAATTTTTGTATGTTTTATCAGGCCAATTAACTCCTGAAAGTAAAATATGCAACACAAAAATATTTAGAAAACAACAAAATGCCACACAACATATTTAGATTTAAAAAAGCTCCTCAGCAGCATGCCTTAAATGCCTTATCAGAACACAATAATATGTCTTTACAGAAATAAAAACATTTAAAATGCAGCAGTAAAACTGCAAACATACAGTCTTCCTTTACCTGAATTCCTCCCCTGTCCTCATTGCCTGCCATGCCGTCCACCTCATCCATGATGAGAGCGTGTCTGGTGCTTGCTGAATGGACGGCGCCACCTGACCCATGTGCAGAAGAAACGGAATGGGACAGAAACAAAATAATTGTTCAAAAACTACTGCTTTAAATAAAATTACATAACATTTTAAACCAGAAATACAGGTCTATGCTACAAAATTCAAAAGGTATGAAACAGCATGCAGTGAAAAGAAATTCCCCCTCTCACTCCTGCCCCTTTTTCCTTCCCAGAGGCAAACACGGTTAACAGCCTCTTAAAAGAGATATTCTATACATATTAAAACCATGTGTGCATAAAAATACACACCTTGGTTTTGTCTTTTAATATATTTTGGCAATCTGTTCTTTATCAGTGGATATAGAACATTTCATTTTTTAAAAGAAGTGTTTAATATTCCATTTACATATATATCATAGTGTTCTTAATCACTATCTACTGATGAAGTATTAGGATGCTTCCAATCTTTTGCTATTATAAACCAAACTAAATGAATCTCTTTGTACATATGTCATTTTACACATACACAAATATAACAATAGCTAAATTCCAGGAGTTGGAATTTCTGGCTTAAAGGCTATGTGCAATTTTAACTTTGGCAAGTACTGCCAGATTGCTCTCCACAGATTTGTACCATTTACACTCCCACCAGCTGTGTATAAAAGTGCCATTTCCTGAGCAGCTTCTCTTTCACAATGATTCTCTACCACTGAAAGGACAAGGATTCAGATGGCCGTGCTTACCAGAGGCTCTGAGTATGTGGTGTTTAATCCTTAATTTTCGCATTGTCTTTTCCCCATAAACTCTGGCCACACAAAACCACAAGCTACAATCTGAAACACAGGTGCACTTTCACATTGTCTTTACTTACTCCTCTACCTTTGCCTGAAATGACCACTTTCATACTCAAACTGTTTTCTGTCTCATTCTTCAAAATAACCTCTCACTGGTAGCTTTCCCCAATGCCCCAAGCAGAATAACCTCTTCAAGCACAGGCCTGTATTGCAGTTATTTCTTTTTCTTTCCCTCTTCACAGGACGCACCTGTGAATCCTCTATAATTACATGCAAAATGTATAAATATGAGCACGTATGCATTTTTATCAGATTCTTAGAAACCTGTAAGACCTAAAACATAGTAAGAACTATTATCCTGTAAGAGTCACATTAGAAACCTTTCTTATTCTCTCTTTAGCCCCAGAATGTAGCTGGGTGCCTGGCACATAGTAGTGTTCAATATCTGTTAGTGAACATTGAAATGAACTTGTTTTTCTTGCATAACCACAGAAAACAGTTCAAAAAAACCAAACCACATACCTGAATAAAAGCCTTTGATGCTGGTATTATTCAGTGATTCAGAAACAATCTCCTTCAAACTGTTTTTACTCCTAGTGTCGCTTGCATTCAGTTCTACATAGCTATATCCCAACTCCTGATCGAAATACAGGGAACCATTACTTTTACAACGCAAATTAATCCCACCCCCAAAAGCTGGGCCCTTAGGGAAGGGGAGAGAAAAACCACATAAAGAGCCATGGGTTAAAAGCCTGAAGAGAAGGTATGATACTAACAGACAATGAGGTTAAGTCAATATCTGTATCTATATACAAGGATCTATTAGACATTTGTGCTATTTATAAGATAATACACCCCAAGTGCATATGTCTCCCAATGAGAGATTTAAAAAATATCATATACATACATACCACACACACACACATATAAACACATACAAGTTTGGTCTGAAAACCGCAGTTACAACAGTGTACTTGACAAAGTAATTTTACTAAGATTACTTCTAAAAATCCTAGAAAGAATTAATATGATCATAGCAAGATTTCAGTATCAGATACAGGATCAATCTTTTGTACAATACCAAAAGGCAATTTTACCTCCTTAAGATATAAAGTTAAATCATTCTTTGTCAAACTACCCAATACACAATTTTCCTCGCAAACCACAAAAAATCAAGTTATTCTGATACCTAAAATTGACCAGCTTATAAAATGTCTATTTCTAAAAAAGTAATTATAACAATAAAGGAATAAAGAGAGAAAAGAATCATGTTCACAATTATAGGGGCTAGGGAAAAATACATTTATTTTTGCCTTTTTTTTAATGTTTATAAATATAATGGAAAACATACAGTTCTTATACAGTGAAAGCTATGAGAGCCGGAACTTGCCGGGACTGCCTTGCTTTTCTAGGTCTCGCAAGTTTTCTGCCTCTGTCAGGGTGCGTGCAGTCTTACCACTCTTCTATCACTTGCTTTAGTGGGAAATATTTGAGTTTTCCTTCTCTGACAGGTTTCTGCCTTACATAAGTTTTGGCTTCCACAAATTTTACCGTACCAGCTAAAAATTTAAGCTCTGGTTCCATATAACAAAGATGAAAAGAAACCACCAGCTTCTGGGGCACAGGGTTGGGGAAACCAGCAATAAATTTACCATCCCTTCTTTTATCACTCTGATCCCAACACATGAGCTCCAATTTGTCTAAGGACAAAGCAGATCAAGTTCCCTGACTGTCTAGAGATAGGAAGTGACAGAAACAAGAAGAAAGGCAATATGATATAGTGGTGAAGAGCAGAAACTCTGAGTCAGACTGCCTGGGTTCACACTGGGCCTCCAGCCCCCTCTCTAAGCCTGCTTCATTTGTCAAATGAGGATAACAGTACCTGCTTCATAGAAATATTACAGGGGTCTATAAAATATCTGTATCTATATGTAAGGATCTTAAGATATTTATCTTACCCATTATACAGCCCAAGTGCATAGCATATTGGCCTGGCACACAGGTAAATGCTACCTATAAATTAATTCATATTAATTTAAAATTATTAAAAAAGGATAAAATTATTTAAAAATATTAATATTAAAAAAGGATAAAAATGACAAATATTACCAGAACTAAAGCAAATTCTAAAGGTTTGTTTGTTTTTAAAGTATACACACAGCAGATTAAAATATAATATAGATACTACACCTGTACGTACACACACACACACACACACACACACACACACCTTCCACACACACGCCTTCCACACATGCCTACTCCTGGGTAATCTTTCCAACTGCACCACGACAGAGCACCCACCTGACAAACCAGGGAAGCTGTGGTGGTTTTGCCAACACCTGGAGGGCCGGAGAGCAGTGCTGCTTTAAAACTAGAGCCATCATCTTTGCCGGCAAATTTACCAAACTTTGCTGCTAGAGAAAAAGAAGTTTCAGAGTGTTATCCGGTATTACCTAATAGAAATCCAGGAATGGCAAGTATAGTTGTGCATAAACTTAGCACTGAGAGCAGTCCTCTAGTTTGGTTCTAAATTTGCAGAATATTTTCCACCAAGTATAAACTACAGTTTCTAGAGCATTTAGCAAAATTCTACTCCCTACCTCACCCTAATACAAAAATAAATAAATAAACTAAAACTAATCTTAAAATTCTGAGTTTAAACAATACTTTTAAGAGTTTCCTTTCCGACAAAACACACAAGCCATGGAGCAGACCGTCCGTCCTGATCCTAACTCCACCATGAGCCAGCTGGGAGTACTTTAGAAGTGACTCAACCTCTCAGTGTCTGTTTCCTCCTTGGTAAAATGAAGGAAACAATAGTATGTACCTGGTAGATGTTGTGAGGATGAAATTGCTGAGCACAGAGTCTAGCACGCCTCAATAAATGTTAACAAGCATAATCAGCTATGTGATCCAAAAAAAGAATTAATGAATTAAAGACGATGTGCCTGGAATTATCTTGCAAAGTTCAACTCTAGAGCATTCTTCCTCCCCACAACACGTGGGTGCCTGGCACACAAAGGGTGATCAATACTTGCTCGATGAACGAGAGAGATGATTAAACCTACTGCCAACAGGCATAAGAAAAGGGACTACAGTTCACCTGAGGCCTCAGAAAACCTCCAGGCACATGAAGCACTCATGCCCTAGGTATAAAGATTTTATGTGGTTTTGGAAAGGTAAAGAAATCCAACTTATAGTTATCATTACAACTATATTATCTAACTTATAAATAAATTGGCATCACTGACCAATGTCTAAGTGACCACTTACATATTAATAAACCATCAACACTTTGGGAATTCACTGTGACGCTAAGTTCTGCCATCTTATTTCTCACACAGTATCCCTCCGAGGGCAGCTGAAACTTAAGAAAACACTACTAACATTTGTGATCTGGAGCCTCAGTGCCAATAATACTTTGGATATTAAACATACATTCTGTCTTTTCATTTTCCATGACAAATACATGGTGAACAAGCACAGAAACTTGGAAGCTCAGCCTTATCAGAAGCAAATCATACATGGTACTGGGATTTTTAGGCTGCCTACTCTGTAAGCATGCCTCAGCTTTTTATTCACATCTTTTACCCCAGTCCTCTTGCACTTTCAGCAGCCATGCTCTCACGTCTTCAAACCTCGGCATGAGAACCCTTTCCCAACCCAACACTCACCCTCCTCTCTTCATCTAGGTAACTTATACTTGGTTTTCAAGTCTTAGCTTAGACTTCCCTTCCTCCAGGATGATTTCCATGACCACATCCCCAACCCCTATGCCTACCCCTATGGCAGTACTCAGCACAACAGATTTTAATTGCTAGTTTATACATGTCTCCTCCAGTGATTGTGAGCTCCTTGAGGGGGACACACTGTGTTTTGTTCACAACAGTACCTCCAGGACCTAGTACTGCACCTGGGCTCAGAGCAGGCTCTAATAAATGTTTGCTGATAGGTGAATGAACCGTTAGACACCCTCACATACGTGTAAATGAGCAATTAGATGTTGACAAACACACACAAAAATGAGTAAAGCTGTAAAATCACCGTGTTTTTTATCTTCGGATGGACTCTTGTGCCAGTTCTGAAGCCAGCGTAGGAGTTTGTTGGCACAGCTCTGGTCACCCTGCTGTCCAATTATGGTCTTGAGCGAAGTTGGCTTATATTTATCCACCCAGAGCAAACTTTCCACTTTGTGTCCACTGCTGTCATCAGTCAAATTCCTAGCCCCACTGTCAACACTTGTTTCCTCAGCCACCTGCTCCTCAAAGTCCAGGCCTTTCTGAAACACACTCGGTTCCTTTTTTACTGACTTTAAAGAGCCGCCCCTTTTGGGAGTCAGCTTGCTCTTTTTAGATTCTGAGTCCTTCTTATTTGGACTAATTTTTCTTTTTCCTTGGTCAGTTTTTTGGGGTGTTCTCTCCAATTTGGACTTTTCTTTCTTCATCTTAAAAATTAGAAAGGTGAGAAAAAAACCTGATGAGACGTACGAAATTTCCATCCTGCTAAATCTACTCTAGAGGGCAAGCAGAGATATCTAAGTGAGCTGGTCTTTTGGACTCTGCTGTTTGTAGAAATCACCACCTCCCAAATTTCATAAAATTAGCAATGAACACAACAAAATGCACCCAAGTGTATGTAATTTTTAAGTGAGAACACCTTAGTTTATGAAGCAGTGTTTCTTATTCATTTTTTAAAAAAATATGTATTCCAATTTCAGTTTGAAAAAAATGGGATGAATGAGTAAGAGATTTTTATTTCAAAGTTTTCTGGCAAGCTAAAAGTTAATGCCTCCAAAAAAATCTTGTACATGAATGTTCACAGCAGCTTTACAATAGCTAAAAAGTGGAAACAGTGCAAATGTCCATCAACAGATGAATGGAATGGACAAATAAAGTGATACCACAAAATGTGGTATATCAACATAATGGAATAATATTCAGCCATAAAAAGGAGTGAAGTACTGATACATACTACAACATGGGTGAATCTTGAAAACTTAATGCCGAGTGAAGGCACAAAATGTCACATATCATATAGTTTCACTTATATGAAATGTCCAGAATAGGCAAATACATGGAGACACAAGTTAGATTAGTGGTTGCTAGGGGCAGGGGGAAAGAGGGCATGAAGAGTGACTGCTAATCAGTACAGGTTTTCTTTTGGGGGGTGATAAAAATGTTGTGGAATTAGACAGTGGTGATGGTTGTACAACCTTGTAAATATACTAAAAACCACTGAATTATATGTTTTAAAAGAATGACTTTCATAGTATGTGGATATTTCAATTAAAAAAAAGTATCTCTTTACCTGTGGATGCTAAAATCAGCAGGTGGAAACTGGAGGAGAAACAGGGTATGAGCATAGTCTTAAGTATCTCCCCCAAGACAGCTATCAATTACAAGGGGAAAACTAGTCACTTTACAGTGGAGAACCCAGCAGACATCTTAACCAAGTAATCACGGTTAACATCACCAGTAATAAGACATATTGACTTCATGTACACCCAATGTAATATATTTCTAGGATACAATATCACTTCTGTGGTAGTCTTATCAAAAATGTATAATGTCAACCTAATCATGAGAAGATATCAAACAAACGCAAATTGAGATACATTCCACAAAACTGACTGGTACTCATCAAAAGTGTCAGATCATAAAAGACAAGGAAAGGCTGAGGAACTGTCACAGGCTGGAGGAGACTAAGAAGACACAACAACTAAATGCCACATGGGATCCTGGATTGGATATCGGTATAGAGAAAGGACATTAGGCGAAAAACATGAAGTTGTAGTAACGTGTAGTTTAGTTAACAGTATTGTACCAGTGTTAATTTCTTAGTTTTGATAATTACACTATGATTATATAAATTGTTAAGATTAGAGGATACTGGGTAAGGAAGGGCCAACCCAACTCCTTCCCCAGGATTTTTCTAACTGGAATAATCTGAGAAGACCATCTCACCTCTGGGGTGACAGAGCTAGAGATATTAATCTTGAACTACCGGCACCCTGTGTCCTGCATGTGGAAAAGGCCTGTGTGCAGTGGGAATGAATGAGGCTAAAACTAGGAGAAGCAGAGAGACAGAAATCAAAAGGGGTCCTGAAAGCATTCATAGTCTCTGGGTCCAGCAGCCACCAGACCAGACCCATCCTGCCTAATTCAGTTATATGCACCAATATGTTTCCCCCCTTTTTGCTAAAAGCTAATATAGGCTGAGTGTCACAACTGAAAAAGTCCTGATACATATCTAATTGAACATGAATTTATCATGCTGACACCTACAACGTATCTTTAAAAGAACTCTTAGGCAACAATCTTTGCAAAAAGTCAACCCAAGAAAATAGAAAATATGGAAAGTTTCATAAGTAGATATGGTAAGTGTAATACACTGTCCTCTATGGTCATATTCCTTTGAGAAAGGTAAGAAAATACACCAAAGAAGACATCCTGAAACAGAGTCCTGCAGCTCAAAAGGAAGTAATGTAAGCTCATTTGTGGTAGAAGGGGACATTAATCTTTTAGTAAACAGCCCTGTATCCACCCAAGAAATGAAACAATATCCCCAATTAAATAAAACAAGTTCATTATATACAAACCTCAGCTTCAACTGCTATTTCATACTTGGACTTCTTGCCTGGCATAGTTCGAATCAGATTCAATAAGCCATCTTCGTCAATAATTTTTGTTCCCAAGGCTGCTGCCTTTTGATTAAAAATTCAAGTCATTAAAACTGCATCCTTTCTGTTAAAAAATATTATACTAGGGCCTATTAGTAAGTGAAAAAACCACACTTGCAAATTAAACAGCACTGGAATTAAAATAACATATTCATCAGAAAGTACCACTAACAAGAAAGAACATGACAGACACATTCCTTAGCGTGGTGGGTTGGCACTCAAAGTGTCACATTACTACTTTTGTGGATTACTTTACCTACTCCCTCTACCCTAAAAAGGGGCAAAGCTACTAGGACCTAAGTTCAGTTCTTGACACACTCTCCCATGTTTGCCTCATATGGCAGACACTTTCTCCCACCTTCTTCCATGCTAACAGAGCTCCAATGTGCCCATTCCCCAGTGATAGATCATGATTGGTCTAAGACAGTCAGGAGAGTTGTAATCCTGTCCAGTCTCTCTTGTAGTTCTGGTCATGTGACCAGCTCTGGCCAATGAGACTTAAGTGGAATTCTACAGGTATTTCTGGGAAAATTCTTGCTTTCCTAATAAAACAGTCACGGCTAGTATGACATCTTGCCACTTCTTCCTTTTTCTGGCCTTAAAAGCAGACTTGAATGCCCAGAACTGCAGCTGCCTTGAAACCACAAGGCAACATGCACGAGGACTAAAGCTAACACCATAAGGACAACAGCGCTGAAGACAAAAATAATCTGACTACATGACTGACCTGTTGAACCATCCCCAGTAACTTCCTTACCTCTGGGATTCTTGTTATGTGAGGAAAATCAGCAACCATTTGTTTAAACCATGGTTATTCGGGTACTCTGTTACTTGAGGCTGAACACAGTCCTACCTGACAGAACTGATTCTTCCCCTATGAACTTCAAATAAGTTAAAATGGAGTCTACAGTGGCATATACAGAATACTTACGACTAGAAAGAAAAAAAAAATAGAATTGCATTTGCTTCTGTCTTCAAAAAGAGATTTAAACCTGAGTATATGTTAAGAAAGTCAAGGTCAAGTAAACAGTAACTGTGCCTTCAGTTGGAAAACTAAAATCCTGGGGTCAAAGCCAACAACACTTCTGTGAAGAAAAATAATGCAGGGGAGAAATTATTTTTCCATCTTTTTTTCCTCCACTTAACTCTGTGTAAAGGTTATATCAGAACTTCCCAAGGTGAGCAAGCTATTTCGCCGTGTTGAGAACACAGCAGGACCCACCTTATCACTCTTGGACTGTCCACTATCCCGACCCATGACAAGGTAGTTTGTTTTCTTGCTGACATTTCCGGTTACTTTCCCCCCATAACGCTCAATTAGAGACTTGGCCTCATCTCGTTCAATGGACTCCAGCACTCCTGTGATTACAAATATCAGGCCTTCCAAGCAATTTTCAGCTCCCTAAAAACCAAAATGTTCAAGCAGAGAGGAAATTACATGGTAGCTTTCCAAGGAAATATGTGACATCAAAACTGCAGGAAGTTGATTTTTCTTCATAAATAACCTCAGCATGAAAAATTTGCTGGAAATTTAAAGCAAATAAGTAGCACTTCAAATTAAATCCTGAGAAATTCTTAGGTAGGCTAACATTTAATAAAGTTATAAAACCAACAATGAAAAATATACATTCAATACTGTTAGCAAAGCTTATTAAAATTACCCATATTATTTTCTATTTTGCTTGTTTTATATTTAAACTACTAGCTAACCTGTATAAATTTAAGTAAATAATCACAGGCAATCCGCCTACAGCAACTCTTGCTTTTGTTAAAAACGGAAAGTTTCGATTCTAAGACTAGCTCACGTCACCTAAACAAGCTTGAGCTCCTGCCCTTCTCTCTGCTGATAACCTTATGATAGTAAATCTAACAACCTACTAGTAACTTATAGGCAAGATCATTTTATCATCCCTTGACTGGAAAGGTAAACACTCGTAATACAAAAGACCCTGGACAAAGAGACCTGAAAGGAAGAGTTATTTAACCTTAATTAGGACTGTACAGGTATCTGCTTTTCTAAAGTTTTCTAAAGTTTGCTTTACACCACTTTACTTTTACGAAAGACCTACATTAGTACCTGTTTTCACTAACTGAAAGAAATCCGAAGAGGATTTTCACTTTTACAAAAAAAGGTGAAAAGTGGAAACAGTGTTCAGCATTGATTTTGCAGTAAGCCATTAAAGAGGCCATGTGCACCCCAAGCAGCAAGAGTGGCATTGCCAAGCTTCTTCCCTGGGAACTGTACTCCACATCTCAGCACCACGCCACCATAGCTTTGAACTGTGTCTGTGAGCATCTGTGCTAGATCTCAATTTACTTTGTGTATCCATTAGCAAGATGTATCCTAAAGTATCAGAAAAGCCTAAGAGCTTAGAAAGGTGTTATACTTAGTGTAATATAAATCCTGCTCTTCTGTGGGATTCGAACCCCGGCCCTTCAACCCAGCCCCATGTGTTATTGCCAGCTAGGCTGCCAGGGTAAGCATCAACACCACCACCTCTCACCCTTCCAGTGTGCTTGCTGTCTTCCCGATTCTGGTAAGTGAAACCACACTGTACACACGATAATTCTAGTGTATAGGCTGTGCATTTACCATGTCATTCCTGCTTTTACTGTACGTTAGTGTTATTTTAGGTTTTATCTGTTATTTGGTAGGTTGTTTTTTGGGTTTGGGAATGCCCCAAAATATTTGCCATATAAATTAACGGTAATTGCTGCTTCGTTTTACACCATTTCAGCTTTAAAAGGTTTCACAGGAACACTCTACTTTTGGATAGCGGGGGAAACCTGTGTATAGTTTTAGCACTTTTTATTTTTGCAACCCAATGGTCTAATAAAATGGCACAACCAAGCAAAATGCAAATTAAAATTATATATGATATTCATATCATTTACTTTTTAAATAGAGAATTGAGATCAACACAGACTTAAAAAGGCTTGAAAAAGAAACCAAACAAAACTCAGACTGCCCCAATATAAGTTCAATCCTTCACCATTCAGATGAAGATCTTTCTCAGCAGACAAAAGAAATAGCTATGAATCTGTCTGGAGGGAAAAAAAAAGTCTCTAACAACATCTCAAGGTCCCTAACAAGCCCTATTGTTCTAGGATTAAAATGATCTAATGAATACTACAAGTACTTAAATTTTCTCAACAAATTCAAAATAACTCTGGAAAACTCACCATTCAAGCCCCTATCCCACACCTGAATCATCTATCATCTCTTGAACTATCACCCCACATGGCTCTGAATATCTTTTACCTTATCCAATCTCAACACTTTTAGACTCTACCAAACTCTTCCCACCCTATAACTCTACTCTGGGACCAGCAAACTACCCAATAGCTCCAACCTCCTCTCTAACATCACAAAGAACTCTCAAGCAAAGGCTCGTTTAGTCTCTCATACATTATGAAACAGAAGCAAAGCTGGCATCTTCCTCTAGCCTCCTATACAACTCACTAACCTCATGAGGCTCGTATCTCCCAACTACATCATCTTGTTCCCCTCTTCATTAGGGGAATTACTAATCTCCATATGTGGTTAGGATACCCTCCCCTTCCCACCTTCTCAGAAATCTCAGATGACATTTTATTATCCTTCTCCCTTCTTCTGCTAGTATACCTTCAATCACTCCCTTTCTGGTAGATCTATCCCATCAGCAGAAAAAAAAAAAAAAAGCTTTAAATATCTCCTACCTTAAAACATTTATGTTCTCCCCCTAAGCCCCACCTCCCATTTCTAGCTATAAGTCCTCTCTCTCCCCTCCCCTATGTTTATAACCAAACTTTCCAAAAACATTACCTGCTTATGGTGTCTGTTTTATCTCCTCCCACTCACTCTTCAACCCACTTTTATCAGGCTCTGCCTCCATCACTCTGTTGAAATTGCTCTTGCACTAATGACTATTTATGTTATAAATGCAATGGAGAATTTCCAGCCTCCTCTTACTTGGTATCTTAGCAACACAACAGACTTAATTACTCATTCATTTTAAAAATATTCTCTTCCGTTTGCTTCTGTGACACCACCCTTATCAGGCTTCCCTCCTACTTTGTACTGCTGCTTCTCAGTATCCTTTTGAGTTTCACCCTCTCCTCTACTCTATTAAGAAGTTGAGGCTGATGCCCTCTTCTCATCCTGCACTATTTTGCCAGACGGTATCAATCCCTTAAAATATTATTTACATGCCAATAACATCCACATTTTTACATCCAGCCTTGACTTTGTCCTGAGCTCCAGACCCACATACCTACCTGTCTACTCAGCATCTCCATGTGGCTATCTCATCGTCTAAAGCACATTAAGTTCATCAACAAACTCATCATCATCTCCCCAAACCTGCTTTGCCACCAATGGCACCAGCATCCCTCCAGTTGCTTATGACAATAAATTGGAAGCTACCCCTGATGCTCATTCTTTCTCATTTCCCACTTTGAATTATCACCCAACTCTTGTCCACCACTTGTCTGTCAGCCTTCAGTATGGATTACATCTCAATGTAAAGAAAATAAAAATCTTCACAACTGGACAAATAAGCAACATCATGATAAACTGTGAAAATATTGAAGCTGTCAAGGATTTCATTTCACTTGGATCCACAATCAACCCCCATGGAAGCAGCAGTCAAGAAATCAAATGACATATTGCATGGGGCAAATCTGTTGCAGAAGACTTCTTTAAAGTTTTAAAAAGCAAAGATGTCACTTGGAAGACTAAGGTAAGCCTGACCCAATCCATGGTATTTTCAATCACTTCATATGCATGCGAAACCTGGACAAGGAATAAGGAAGACCAAAGAAGAATAGATGCCTTTGAACTATGGTGTTGGCAAAAAATTCTGAATATTCTATGAGCAGCCAGAACAAACAAATCTGTCTTGGAAGAAGTATAGCCAGAACACTCCTTAGAAGCGAGGATGGTGAGACTTGGTCTCATGTACAACTAGAAATTTAAATATGTATTATGAAAATAGGGCATTTTAAAAGAATTTTTAGGTTAAAAAAAATTAAACCTATGAAAATAGTAATTTGGCACGTGATCTTTAGTTGCTACATGAGTATGCTGCAATTTCACATTAAGAAATATTTCTGAGAAGAGATCTCATTTTTGAAATTTAAACAAATACTCTGACTGCCTCCTAGGCCTACTTGTTGTTTAAAGGAAAATTTTTCTGAGTATCCAGTAGTGACTCAAAATAAACATCCCTAATTCCTGAAGATAGTGACTGAGGCTTTTCTGTTGTTAATTTTTAATGATTAATTCTCAGTGAACACACACATGGACTTACAGGCCGGAGACCACTACAGAATGGCATGGACTCTCAGTGCTCTTACCTTTGGTATTTCTTTGGAGCCCAGAGCTTTGGGACCTTCTCGATTTAGGTAGCTTCGATAAGCTTGATAATTAGTGCGTTTCTTTTCCGAATCTTCAGGACTTGTAGACTTTGAGGAGAGGGAAATGAAACTCAGCAGTCATGCAAAATTCATATAAAATTAAAAATACATATCTACAAGTGAATATATAGTCACTTCTGTGTTTTTAGCTGTATAAGTACTTACTCCCCAGCTCACAGACGCCTGACTTAGAAAGATCCCTGCATCAGCCCTTCTGAAACCTTTCTGCTTTCTCTAAAGGTATAAGCCAAGTTGCCATCTCTAAGCAAATAAGCTAAAAGAGTGTATTTTATTCTAGAAATTCACATAAATTTTAAATTCTATTCCATAATATATCCATATTTATTTTAAGGTAAAAATAAATTTTCCCCAAGTAAACCTGATCACCCAAGAAGATAGGCTACGTTTACCCTATGACCTGGAACACCCTTAACACATTGCCCTATGAGCATCCCAATCTGAGAATCAAAGCCCTCATGTAAGTAGCCAGCTGAAACAAGGGACAAAGTCTACACCAAAGAACAGACACATTCTATATGCCCCTATTCTCCATCTATGTTTAATCTCTCCCATTCTATTTCTTTCAGGAGATCTTACCATGGGTGTATCTCAGAAAATCCTGGGGAAATTTTTAACTATGTATTGCATGACCCACGTCCAGTTTCTGATTCAGAGATACAGCGTATAGCTAGGGCATGTATTGTGTGTTTGGGGGATAAAAACATCCTAGATAACTCTGATTTTAAAACCACTGCAAGACGGTCTCTGCTGTTTTTTTTATCTATTTTACATATTTTTAACTTGTAAGTCACCCCAAATCTCTGAGAGTAGACAAATATTACTTTAATAAAAAGAAGTGACTTAATAAAATAGCTAAGCTAGTTTGGTTATGTTGTTTGTTGCTGTGTGCCATCGAGTCGATTCCGACTCACAGCGACCCTACAGGACAAAGCAGAACTGCCCCATGGGGTTTCCAGGGAGCAGCTAGTGGATTCAAACTGCCAATCTTTTGGTTAGCAGCCTGAGCTCTTAACTACTTCACCACCAGAGCTCTAGTTTGGTTATGCTGTGAGTTAAACAAGTCATTCTGGGATGGCTCTAGAACCTAATCATAACTTTTAATAGTGGTTCTAAAATGTTGGTGTGCATTCAAATCATCAGAGGAGCTTATTAAAATACAGCTGCCCAGACTGCATGCCCTGGGAAACCATATTTTTAACAAGCTTTGCAGAAGAATCCAAGGCAAACCAAAATGAGAAAATCATTCATTTATAACATTAATTCCATGGGGGAAAAAAAATTCTGAATTCTAAACAACTTATAGCTTTTATAAGTGTACCATTTATGAAGTCAGAATTACTTGTTACTTGACCAAGATACACTAAATTTATTAAATAGATTTTGATGTTCCTAAACTACTTAAGCAAAAGCTCTGAGTCATTTCTTCTCCAACCTTGAAAAATACAGTGAAGAGTAACAGTCTCATTTAAAGATTTCTTCCTCTTTAATAAAAAAAGACAAGCTTCTGTAAACTGAACAGGTTTAGTGTGCCTAAACAAAAATATTCATCCGCCAGATAAATATTTAGTGAAGATAAACCTGAGGCCAAGAAGTTAATTGTTCCTCTAAGCATATTTATGAGCACTGACCAGACAAAAGGATTTTGAAATCACCACCCTTTCACTGTTCTATACTAAAAAATAATGGTGATGAGCAGCTAAAACATAAGACAATATTTTGCTTTTAATTCTAAGTGCCCAAGAGGCATGAAGGAATAGATAGTGGTTTTTTATTACGAAGATAAAGCAGTTCCATATCAAAGAGACCATCTGCTTCTCAAATATATTTGAAAACAAAGAAAACTTCTGAAAGGCATTCTGTATTTCACTGTTTTTTCCTTTGAAAGTGATTTCAGTATCTCAACATTGTTATACAAGAGCAAAAAGGAGCAAATTCAGAACAAATCCAAATAATTATTTTAATAATAATAGCTAAAACTTATATAGCACTTCTTATGTACCAGGTATTGTTTTAAGTGGCTTCATTTATTAACTCACTAGGTACTATAATCCCCATTTTACAAATGAGGAAACTGAAACAGAAAGAGGGTAAATAATTAGACCAAAGTCACACATCTACTCGATGGTAGGGCTATGATTCAAAACTGGTTCCAGAGTCTATGCTTGGAGCCACTGTCTTATCCTGCTTTCTTTTGGCCTCAGAGGACCAGCTCTGCCACTTACTTACAAGCTGGGTGATCTTGGAATAGTTACTTAAACTCTTTCATCTTGTTTCTTCATCTTTGAAAGTTGAATAATAAAAGCAAATACTGCACAGTGCTATTGTGAAGACTTACATATGTAACGTATCGGCACATCTGACACACAATAACACTCAAATATTGAATACTTCAGCTATATTAATTTATATTTTGCTATATTAATAATCCATATTAAAGATTTAGCCATATTAATAATCTATATTTTGCAATAGCTTCTGAATAAAATGACATCTTAAAAGTACTACAATGAGTTATAAAGTTAGAAATAAAACAGAAAACAATCAATCCCAGATCAACACATAGCTCCAAAATGATACACATTTTAGAAAGTTGCTACCTCTTTTTTAGTTGGAGAACTTCTGGTTTTCTTAGGAGTTTTTGTTTCTCCTTTCAGTTCAATAGCATTTTCTTTTTTTTTTGAGCCCATTGGCTCTGCTTCTTGATAAGAACTCTTTTCTTTTTTTTTCAAAAGTGCCAGCTTAGAACTGGCCTTTGTAGGAGAGGGTTCTCCTCTTCTGTGAGCTGATAACTTAGAATGTTGCTCAGATTCTTTTGAACTTTCACATTTAGTTTGTTTCTTAGGACTACAGTTCTTTCTTTCATCTGAAAATTGTTCTGTTTTTACTAGGAAGAAAGAAAAGATTATGATTGTTGTTCTTAGAAAATGATACCCATTATCAACATTTTTTTTTTCATTTTTCAACAGAGCAATCTTAGTAGCAAACACTATCATATGGTGATTTCATTAACACATTAAGACTTTAGTTCTATAGGTTACACAGCACAGTCTTTTAAAAAAATTAGACATTTGTAGATTACTACTTCTTATATAATCAGTTCAAATTAAGGGATTTGTCTTTTTTTAATGTAAACTACTCATTTCTTGAAGTAATACAGTAATCTACATCTAGAAACATGGAATTCACTCCACAGATAAACTTCAGTTATCTGAAATTTACAGAGAAAACTTACTGACTAGAATATGTCACATAAAAATTCCATGTTTTTTAATAAAGCCTGAAAGCCCAAAATCCTGAGGTTTCAAGACCAAATGGTACTGAATGAAAGATTTACTTATAGGATTAAGATAGTCTATACTAGCAGATGGTTCCATATCAGGGCCCCTAAACAATAAAACCTCCAATCAGCAGGAGAGCTTCAGGCGACCGGACAACTATGAGTCAGCTCTATGACACAATCTCTAAGATGAAAAGCTCTAAACATCTAATTCTTTGTCTTCCTAGACTCAAGTCCACACATTGCACTATACTCAAAAATTAACAGCAAGCCAAGAGCTATAATATGTTTCTCATGACGATAGAGCAGATGGACATTCTGTAACAGCCAGTACTCAAAACAGCTTTCGAAGTCTTCTAAGTAAATATGTCCACCAGTCCTATTAAATGTCTATCTAAAAATACAAGGTAATTATTGAACAGAATATTTAAACAAGGTTACCATGAATTTTCTTCTATAAAGACAAATATTCCAGCTTATTTTTTTCTGCTAATATTACCTTTATGAGGATATTTATGTTTTTCTGTTTTACTTAAATTGGCTTGGACAGACAAAGACGTTTCTTTCTCTTCTTGGTCCTTTCGAATCTAAGCAAATTTAAAAAGTGTCAAATGTGACAAATAATAGGAAAACTATTACCACAATATCTGTTGTCAAAATAAAGTTTTAATTCTAAGTTTAAAGCCACTTTCCCACTTGGCAGGACACTACAATAAATCTTCTTTCATTCATCCACAGAATTTCTGGGGCAAATAAGCATGTTTTATTACTTCATTTTATAAATGAGGAAATCGATGTAAGAGTATAAAAATATACCTATAAAAAATTACCCTAGTTCATCCCAATCTGGGAAATCGGGAAGCAGAAACCTTATTTCTGCTTCTTTCATCTCAACTGTCAAATTTGTTAGTACTGTCCAGTAAAAAACTAAAATCCAAACCAAAAAGACTTTTAAAATAAAAACAATCTAAAGCTCAAAACAAGAGAAAAATAAGAGAGCATTTTCTCAAAAGAGAAAAAAAATCCATTCTCTCCACTGCTCCCTCAAAACTCCACTTTTCAAAGAAGTCACAAATGAAGATTTATGATACAGTATTTTTAAAAATAATTATAATTTGAATGCCTTTAGATGGAATAAGGCTTTTCAATTGACGAAGTCCCCACCACCTCCTACTGTCTTACACAGGCCTGCTTAAGTCTTGACCCCTAGTAGTATCTAAGCTTGCAAATCCCTGCTTTAAAGGAAAGAAGTAAAATCTTTTTAAATGAACAGATATTGATACTGATAATTATATTAAATGAATGTGATTCATTAGAAATTAGACTAGTTTATTGGAGATAAAGTGATGAAAAAAATCTTGATTTTGTAAAGATCCCCCCAAAATATATTCATTATTATTTGAGATTATCTTAATATAATACAGATCTTAAAGTCAGACAATTAGAAATAGAAAAATTGTGCTTCCTGAAGAGGTACTAGTTAATACTAAAGTTATTAAATTTGTATCCCATAGGAATTTTATAATACATTATTCTCTGACCAAGCACATAAGAGCCCTTCATGATAGAGAATAAGGAAAAGCTGTAATTTCTCGTTGTGTGAAGAAAGGTTCTGGTTTCCTTTGACTCTCTTGATCTTCTTTAGGCAGAATAAGTTTCTCAATGAGCTTCCCAAAAATATTTTTATAAATTAAAACAATGTAGTTGTGTTCTGGAAGAATTACTCATGGTTGTACATCCAGTGTCTAGAATACACAGGTACGAAAACGAACACAGATCTGTATCGTATATTCAGAGTGCAAATAGCCCAACATAAAGCAACCTTTTTGGTCTTGGGTTCTTCATCCAACATGGCCAACGTTCTGGCAAACTCTTCATCCTCATGCAGCTGCCTCTCCAACTGTAAACAGTGTCAACACAATGAGCTGCTTTTGTTCTTTTTGTAAACGATGTTTGTTTCATGATACTTAGAAAAACATTTTCCAGAAAATGACTATAATATTTTTCCACTTAACATTAATAGTCAAGTATCACATGTTTGTTTTGCTAAGGCAAATTACATTTCAGAACATACATTTCTAGGTTACCAGGCATGATAAATAAATTCAGCATACTCTGAAAGTCACATTTCTTATAAAATTCAAAGCCTATAGTTTTCTCTTAATGGTCCTAATGCAACACTTACAGATCTCTTATTTCTATTTAAACTCTAGAAAGAGCTCTGAAAGGAATCTCAACAGGGTAGAAAAACAATAGTCTGGATGGCACAAAAGAAAAAGTGAATCTAAGAAATTAAGAAAACTGCATATATTTCTTTGCATACAATAGCAAGATATACACAAATGTAACCATCAAACTCCTATTTTCAATTACTAATTCTAATGTATCTGTTGACTTTTGATAATTTAAATCATCATGTTAGTTTTCCTAACATGCTACTGTAACACACAAAGCAGACATTCTAGTTACCCTGCTGTTATTTCCAAATAGTTTCACCTTCAGCCAAATGGAGGTCTTCCAGAAGAGAATGCATGGCAGTGGAAATAGTTCTCATTATAAACTAAATGGTTTTATACCCTCTGTAAAAGGGCCTAATTTAATACCAAACAAAAGCCTCGCTATATTACTCTAACAGAAAAAAAGACCTCAAAATCCACTCATTCCCAAAAAAAAGGCTTGGAAGTTGACATAAACCTATTGAGAACATAGTAACCTGTCCTGTTTATAAGATTAACTAACCCAAGCTACACAGAACTATAAGCAAGCCAGACAGATGCAATAAACACAGTCTCTGCTGACTGTTTCTTTACCAAAACTGAACTGCACATCTAATTACTAAAAACAATATGAAAATCTTGCTTATAGAAAGGTCTTTCAAACTCTGAACCAACAATGGCCATGGAAAGATTTCCGGTTGAGCTCTGTACCATTTTCCCAAAATATCACGTTATACAGTACGTCTCTGGTAAAAAAGATTTTAGATGTTTTAGAAGACAGAACAGAAGCAACTGATGCTTCCATTAGAAAATCATTATTGGTGATTATGGCATCATGTGATCAAGAGTCCTGTATTTTAATACATTGCTTACCACAATACAAGATGTTTAACATACTGACTTACATGTTAGATACTAGATACACATTTACTAAATAAATAAACCAAGAGGTGAAAGTGAGGGGGAACAGCCAGGGAAAAATACCTCCTAGAGGGATAATTAGGGAAGACATCATCAATCATTCATATCCTAAAATTCCTTCATCAGATTAATACATTACCAGACAAGATTCTGAAAGAATGTGATGGAAAGAAGAAAATATGGGATTTTCATACAAAGTACCACACCTGGTTTGGAAAGGACTGGGTGAACTGCCAGTACATGGGACAGATAAGGAAAAGTTAGATCCCTGAAAATCACTCCACAGTTTACCTAGATCACCTCTGCTATCTTGAATTGTGTAGAGACCTGTTTGTAGTTTATGTAATTCAGTGTGATCAAATAAGATAGAAAAGGATTGTGAAAACACACACTATAAACCGCCCCCCTCCCCATGGCCTATTAGACTCACAGTAGCCAGAATGATTTTTTTTTAAAGATCCATCAAGTCACATCGCTTCTCTATTCAAAACTCCAATGGCTTCCCATGTCACTGAGACTAAACCCAAAGCCCTTACTGTCCAAACATTTTTTTTTCCTACGTGCCGTACAGAATTTTTTTTTATTGTTGAACTTCAAGTGAAAGTTTACAATTCAAGTTAGTCTCTCATACAAAAATTTATACATACATTGTTAAGTGACCCTAATTGTTCTCCCTATACTGTGACAGCACACACCTCCTTTCTACCCAATTTCCCGTATCCATTCAACAAGCTCCTGACCCTTTCTACCTTCTCATCTCACCTCCAGACAGGAGCTGCCCATTTAGTCTCATGTAACTACCTGAGCTAAGAAGCACACTCTTCACGACTATCATTTTATGTCCCATAGTCCAGCCTAATCTTTGTCTGAAGAACTGGCCTCGGGAATGGTTTTAGTTCTGGGTAGACAGAGAGTCTGGGGGCCATGCTTCATGGGGTTCCTCCAGTCTCAGGCAGACCATTATGTCTGGTCTTTTTACTAGAATTTGAGTTCTGCACGCCACTTTTCTCCTGCTCCATCAGGGATTCTCTGTTGTGTTCCCTGTCAGGGCGGTCATTGGTGGTAGCCAGGCACCATCTAGTTCTTCTGGTCTCAGGCTGATGAAGTCTCTGGTTTATGTGGCCCT